TCATCTAGGCTGGAGTGCAGTGGCATGATCTCAGCTCACTGCAACCTCTACCTCCTGGGCTCAAACAATCTTCCCACCTCAGCCTCCCAAATAGCTGGGACCATGGGCACATACCACCACACCCAGCTAATTTTTGTGGGGCTTTTTGGTAGAGAAGGAGTTTCACCATGTTGCCCAGGCTGGGCTTGAACTCCTGGACTCAAAAAATCTGCCCGCTTCAGCCAACTAAAGTGCTGGGATTATAGGCATGAGCCACCGCACCTGGCCTAAGCTTTAGTTTTTTAATCATCAACTGACAAACCAACGAGGATGGTGCACCATTTTAGCTGACAAAACTTGGGGCCTTCGAAGCACAAAGCCTTTGAGGAGGCAAGCTTCACAGCCTATAGTCCCATACATATAAGTAAATGATAAACTGAAAACAAAACTGCCATTGCAAAAAAGGTGGCAGCTCCTGTGGCAGATCCTAGACCAATGTGCAAGTGCCCACCACCACGCCTGGCCAATTTTTGTATTTTTTATAGAGTCAGGGTTTCACCATGTTGGCCAGGCTGGTCTCGAACTCCTGACCTCATATGATCCACCCACCTGGCCTTCCAAAGCACTGGGATTACAGGCATGAGCCACCACACCTGACCTAAGTAAACATTTTATGAATACAATAATTGTCAGGTAGTAGTAAGTAGTATGAGAAAAAGAAAGGGGGAGATGTAAAAGATAGTGATAAGGGGCTGATTTAGAACAGGGTGGAGGTGGCCTGAGCTGAGACAAGAATAACAGGAAAGAGCCAGCCATGTAAATAATCTAGGGGCAGAAAATAAATGCATAATTCCGGGCAGAGGGAACTGCAAGTATAAAGGCCCTGAGCTAGGACCAAGCCTGGCCCGTGTGAGCAGCAGGTGGCTGGACACGCTGAGCAAGGAGGAGTGTGTCAGGCGTGAACTTTCAGAGGCAGGTGGTGGTAGTGAGCTTAGATTTTGTTCCTAGTGCAAAGGAAAGACCCTGGATGGTTCTGAACAAATAAAGACATGGTGTCATTTACCTTTTAGCAGGATCCTTCTGAAACGAATTATAGAGGGTTAGGGTAGAGCAGGGAGACCAATTAGGGAGATACCCCAATAATCCAGGCAAGGAATTTGGTGCTTGGATGAACTTGACCAATGTGCAAACATCTATTATTAAGTGAAAAACAAGCAAACAATTATGCAAGACATTGTGCATAGTAACGTGTGTTTTTAGCATATGCATATTCTGGGTACAAAGACAGTTTTGTTTTTTTTTTCCTGAAAGGATCTATACAGTCAAAGTAAATAGTGATTATGTTTGGGGAAAAGAGGGCTACTGAGAGTCATTTTATACCTCTGGGTACAGTATTATGTGCATGAAGTGTTCCTTTTTTTTTTTTTTTTTTTTTTTTGAGACAGAGTTTCGCTCTTGTTACCCAGGCTGGAGTGCAATGGTGCGATCTCGGCTCACCACAACCTCTGCCTCCTGGGTTCAGGCAATTCTCCTGCCTCAGCCTCCTGAGTAGCTGGGATTACAGGCACGCGCCACCACGCCCAGCTAGTTTTTTGTATTTTTAGTAGAGACGGGGTTTCACCATGTTGACCAGGATGGTCTCCATCTCTTGACCTCGTGATCCACCCACCTCGGCCTCCCAAAGTGCTGGGATTACAGGCGTGAGCCACCGCGCCCGGCCGAAGTGTTCCTTTTATGTAAAGGTAAAATATTTTAAAATTTAAAAACTATGATCGAGGAAAACGCAATAGAATAGGTGATAGGCAACCAGTATCAGAGGAGAGGAAACCCAGCTCTCATGGGCATGACCCTTTCTAAGCATCCTCCCCTGAAGTTGCTAAAGAGTCAGGTCAACAAATGGGAGCGAGCTTATGTGACTGGATTTCAGTGGGATCTTGAGGGCCGTTGGACCCAACTTCTGTCCTGCAGCTCTGGTGATGTTTGTGGCTGGCTGGTCTCCTTGAGCAACAAATACAATTTCCCGTGAATGTCTGCTGCATTTCCCACTGCCCTCTGTCAGCATGGCGCTTGCTTCACCGTGAGGCCAGGATGCCCTTCATTTAACTGCCTGATTGGGCATAAACAGAAGGAAATGTTTGCTGGAGGGAGAGGGTGGCATGCAGCATCTAATTTCTCCTGTCAGCTGATTAGGATTTGTTGTGCCTGAACAAGGTCAAATGAGATTAGAAGGAAAACGCAGTGTGTCTGGTGTGTGTTTCACAAAACCGTATCGTTTGCATAAACAGGATGAATGAAGGGGAAATTTTAAAGCAAACATTGAATGTCATTCTCAAGAATCAAGGACAAGATGCCAGGGCTTACATTCTGCCTGGAGAGAAAAAAAAATGTATTTACTGGGAGCATTTTGAACCCTGATCATTTAATAACGCTCTGCTTCTTTCATGCTGGTGCAGGTAAAATGTGATAGTTATGTTTGATTTTTAGAGGCACTGAGCACAAAATAAGTAAAACTGCAGAAGTACCGCTTTCTACCTTTATCGCCCTTCTAAAGCTCTTGGGAGAGGTTTAGAGCCATTTTCTGTAATAGCAGCTGCCTAGTGCTCTGTATTGAGTCCATCTCTTAGGATGTGGAAGGAAAAGTCTCACCTCTGGCACCAGCCACAACATTTTAGATGTGGATGACTCCGGGGCAAGCCCACATCTCTGTAGATAAACCTACTAGGATTTTTTTGGTCCTCCAAACCTGGCATTTTCTTCCTTGCTCAGAGGACCCCTCTGCAGTACTAGCAGCCTCTCTTACAAGGTTTTATCAGGGCAGAAGGGGCTTTTAAAGTGGTGTAACAGCTTTGGAAGAAGACATGATTTCTGGTACATGTTCTGCATAGGATCTAGCATATTGAGGATGCTTAATAAGCAGCTTCGACGGCTATTATTTCCACTGACTATTTCCAGGCACAGAGCTGCAGGGCTATTCTGAGACCAGACTTTTCAACTAGGTAATCGCAAAGTCCCTTCCTACTCTAAATAACAGTGGGCCTGAAAAGCATTCACATGATTATGTCTCCGGACTGGGAAAAAATCTCAATGTATGTTATTTAAAAGGTAAATCTAGATACTACATGGAAGTTGAAATATAGAAATTGAAGGATATTAAAATAAAATTTTTAAAAATTTCAACATTGGGGGAATTATATTACAGTAAATACCTTAATGAACTGAGGATTCATTATTTCCCGGTATCTGGACAGTAATATTGACAGACACCCAATATGCAGTAGATAAATTAGCATATGTGAGTAGCTAAGGACTATATTTGCCTAAAAGCTGTGTGTGTGTGTGTGTGTGTGTGTGTGTGTGTGTGTGTTTAAACAGAGTTTCATAACTGTAGATAATGGAGAACTAAAATAAAATAATGACTTGCATTTGCATTCCCCATGGTCAAGGTACTCAAACACACTTGGACACATTTGATTGTCATGATAATCCTGTGAGTTTGCAGGGAAGATATACATAGGAAGGTCTGACTAATTTCCACTAGGAGGGAGGGAGTCTGGAGCCCTTGGACTGAATTAATTGCCCAGCAGTGGCCAACCACACAGTGCAGGCAGGTTAACAGGGGGTTAACCTAAAGTAGGGAGACCTGGTTTTAGTCACAGTGAGGACTTTAACTAAGGGTAGCTCCTGGGTAAGGCTCTGAATCCGCATCTCTGTCCTTAGGATTTTTAGGGTGTTTTCTAACTTTCAAGTCTATCATTTCACGTAGTTAAAAAAAAAAGTTAGCATGCATACTACATCTAGCAAGTGATTCTTTAATACTTAGAAGGCCACTGTCTGAAATATGTGTTTTTTTATGATTCAGAAAGCCCTTTGGAACCTTGCAGATACTCAGGAAGATTAGTATGTTTTAAAGGAAATTATCAGTATCCTTTGCAAGTCAAGTGGTGGTAGTTCACGAAGGTTCCAGTTAATAAGGTCTGGAGAAATCAACATTTTCTGTATATCCAAGCCCCCTTTGGGAGCTGCTGCTTATCCAAGATTGCAGTTCAGTGATGTTTGAGCCTCTAGCTCCCTAGTGCAGGACACGAGCTCCTTCTCCAAGGCTCATCCCTCCAGAAGGCACATGAATGGCTTCCCCCTACCCCCATGCTCTGTAGGGAGTATGGGGAACAAATCGCACCTCCACCCTCTCTACACCTAAGCAGCTACCCAGAGGAGTTGGACTGGAGAGTATAGTTCTAGTTCTGACAGGTCGACCTGCACCTCTCTACCTGAATCATCAGGTGGGCAGGCTTGTGTGCATACATGGAACCGTGTGGAGCACACACACACTCACATGCGTACACACACACACACACACACACTCACTGATTCATGCCTCCTGGGCTCAAATGCCTGCATAAGCAGGAGGGACTCTTCAATTATTGGAAACTATTCATCATGTTTTCATTTGGTTTCTTCAAAGACAGCTCTTGATCCATATGCTTTCAGTCCACCTATTCTCCACCTTCTAGCCAAAGAGTTATTTGTCCAGACAGCTCCCTCCCTTCCTTACCCCATCCTGGCCAGAAGTATAAAGAGGATGTCCATGGCCCATTGAAGAATTCCCCACCTCTGAAATTGAGCTCACCTGAGGATTCACCTCATCCAACAGGGACAGAGTTGAAAAGTAGAGAGGGAGGACAGAAGGGTCCTCTCTGCAGCCCCTCCCTAGTCCCAACCTGGATGGCCTTTGCCTCAATTGACTTTGCAAAATGCCATTGGTAGGGCTTAGCTCTGGAGATCTCACACACACACACACACAGACACCTACACCCCATGCAGGGATGCCAGATGACAGAAGAGAAAAGGCCTCCCTTTCATCCAGCAGCCTTCTGACTCCAGAGGAGAGTCTCCCAGCCACGACCTGCTGTTTCCCTGACGACTCAGGCCTCAAAATAAACAGGATTCTGCTCAGACGGGCCAATAGTCCATTCGGCTCAGACATTTGCCCCAAGACAAACCACGTTGAAATAACACCCAGGGTAGCTGCTGCCACTGTCTGCTGTCTCTACCTCCCTCCTGGCTAGCTAGCAGCTCTGGGTTCTTCTGGGCCTGCTGCTGGCTGTCCAGAGTTGGGGGTTGCTTAGAGCTGTGTGCATCCCTGAGAGTGGGGTGGGAGTGGGTGGTTTTCTAATGGCAGGTTCCCTCTCCTGATAAACAAGGGCCGGAGATAGACCTGAAAGCTGGCATTCTCGGCTCCCCCAGCCTGCCCCCCCCCCCTCGATTTCCCACACAGCCCTAGGGACTGGTAGCCAGCTCTGTGGCATGGTATCTGGAGGCAGGCCAGCAACCTGATGTGCATGCCACGGCCCGTCCCTCTCCCCACTCAGAGCTGCAGTAGCCTGGAGGTTCAGAGAGCTGGCTTGGGGCTGCTAGGGAGGCAGCCACAGCACGGTGACAGTGACAAACGCAGAGCAGAAGGCACCAAGTGGATTGTTTCCCCTGGGACAGCACCGAGCAAGTGTCGAGAGAGGTACAGCCCTCGGCCTGCAAGCTCTTTAGGTAAGAATCAGGGCATCTGATCTGGGAAACAGAGCAGGTTAAAGCTGAGGGTGTGTGTCTTGTCTGTCTGTCTGTCTGTCTATCTGTCTGTTCAGGTGCAAATGTAATGCTACTCGGAGAGGAAAGAAAATGTTTTAAGCAGATAGCATTGGAACCAGGACTCCTGCAAGTGAACGCAAGCAGCTCACCTCTGGCTAGGTTTAAACCGTGGTGCAGACTGCTCTGGGGGAAGGGTGTGCTGATGTCACAGACATGTAAAAATAGCACTTCTAGTTTAGAGACTGCAAAAATACAAATGTACCATGCCGCCACATTATCTCCATTCCTCCAGTGCCAGCCTGACACTGGCCCTGAATCAGGGCTGGCGGGGGCAGGAATCTCTCATTTACTAAAGAGCTGGACGCGGCCCCTGCGGTTCGGCAGAAGCCGAAAGCTGCGGTGAGTCTGGCCGTGGTGAGTGTGGCTAGCATGATCTTGCTGTGTCACACTAGCTCTTGGGAAGCCTGGATACTCGGCTGCCTTGGAAAAGCTGTCTACATGGTGGGCAGCTTAGATTTTATTAGCCTTTCGATATAACAGTCGGGCTGAAGTTTAGGATGATCTGGGCATGTCCGTTTGGGATTTTAGTAAGGTGACATTCCCATGGCCCCACAGTCACTCGGATTTCTTCTCTCTTTCCCTTCTGATCTTCCTGGAATATCATATCGTCATTTTAGTACCCCTCCGATGGGCACCAGGAGAGAAGGAGTCAGAATGGATAGATTCTCTGGCACATACACTATCCACACCCACATCGCAGTGACATGCCAAAGGTATGCAAGGCTGCCGCAGAGGGGCCCTTCAGAAATTCAGCCCTCCAGATACTGGGATGGGAATTTCAGGCATTTAATCAAGTATCCACTTTTCAGAGACCCAAGGGAGACCCCCTCAGGCCCAAGAGCTCACTCTGCCTCAGCAGAATTCAAACACTCTAGCTATTTCACATCCCCTTCCCCCTTCTCCTCCCGCACCCCGGCATTTGCCGCCCTCCTTTCTGCACTGGTGACCAGCACTTTTCCTTTCATTCTCTACAGGGATGTGATTGTTTACAAGTTAGCTCCCCGACCCAGTGGGAGGACGTGAGCATCCTGGCAGAGGGCGAGCCAGGCTGCCTCTCTGCCAGCTCTGTGTGACAATGAGCCAGCGGCAATGGCATCAGGGCTGAAAAAAAGTGGGCCTCACTTTGGGAAGTGGTGTCTGGTGAAGGGTGGCCAGCAGTTTACCGGAGCTGTTTGTCGGTGTGGATCACTGAGGATTTTGGTGGAGACTCTGATTCACAGTCACAAATTCCCTTTTCCTTTGTTTTCTTTGTGTTGGTCACTGAGGGCTTCCGAGGAAAGTCCCTTCTTCAGATCTTGAAGGCAAGATCACCAATTTGCTGCTGGCAGAGGGACTCAGAGAGACTTTCTTCCGTTGCCCCTGCCTTTGTTAGTATAAATCAATGGGTTTGCAAATGAAGTATGTAATCCAAAGGAAAGTTAGTATGCAAAACATTAGGAGAAAATACAATGAGTGTCTTTTAAACTCTCTCTCAAATCTGTTGTTTACATATGACTTGACTGGTTCTGCAGAGGATTTAAGAAAACCGTGTCTGGTTAAGTGGTTTGACTTTACAGGTGAGTAGCACCAGCCACGACGATAACATACTCAGTGGAGATGACGGGCAGATATCCATGTGCTGTATCTACATCGAAGGGACGTCTCATCCTGGGACAGTGCGGCCGCTCACTTAGGTGACCTGCATTCTGTGGACCGCACGTAAACTATTAAGGATCTTGGGGCTGCTGTTGCGGGAAAGATATCTGGACCCCAAGAGAGGGTTCTTGGATCTCGAGCAAGAAAGAAGCCAGGGCGAGTCCACAGCGCAAAGCAAAAGCAAGTTAATTAAGAAAGTAAAGTAGGGGCCGGGCGCGGTGGCTCAAGCCTGTAATCCCAGCACTTTGGGAGGCCGAGGCGGGTGGATCATGAGGTCGAGAGATCGAGACCATCCTGGTCAACATGGTGAAACCCCATCTCTACTAAAAATACAAAAAATTAGCTGGGCATGGTGGCGCGTGCCTGTAATCCCAGCTACTCAGGAGGCTGAGGCAAGAGAATTGCCTGAACCCAGGAGGCGGAGGTTGCGGTGAGCCGAGATCGCGCCATTGCACTCCAGCCTGCGTAACAAGAGCGAAACTCCGTCTCAAAAAAAAAAAAAAAGAAAGAAAGAAAGTGGTGAAAGCACAGCTACTCCATAGACAGAGTAGAGTGTTCCTGAAAGTAAGAGGAGGAACGTGTCCGCTCTAGATACAATGCTCATATACATAGGCTTTAAAAAAGATCATGGGGGAAAAAAAAAGATCATGGGGAGATGTGTTCTGCCACAACGGTTTGTGATAAAGGATTAATTTTTATATTTTGCAAGAATCCATATTATTGTCTTTGAAGCAAAATTAGGAATGCCTTTGTTCCCAAAATATCAGGATATTTGGACACTCCCAAGTCTGGGTCTATCAGGAAACATTATCAATCTATTCCCTTCACTGTAAAGATCTGGAGTCTAGGAATGTCTAACTTTCTGAGAATGCAGCTCAGCAAGCCCAGCCTCATTTTCCTAGCCCTCACTCAAGATGGAGTTGCTCTGGGTCGAATGTCTCTGACGCTGTCAGCCTGTGTGCCAGGGGTTAGGTATTGTGCAGGGTGGAAGACACACCCATTTCCACCTATTTCCACCTTGTTAAATAAGCATTGCATGGCTTATGCAATATCCCTTGATTTAGGTTGCTGGAAAAATAATCTGAAGTTGTTTGTGCTGTAAGCATACCATGCTTTAGGTAAAGCTAACATCTATACATGACATGTAAGTTGTGGGTGAGAACACTTTTTCTGAAGAAAGGATTCCCTAATCAACAAATGTTTAAGTATCAACAAGGTGTCCCATCTTGAGATATGACCAGATCCAGCCCAGACAACCACAGAGAAGGGAGAGGACTCATTGGGTGGGCAGGTAACAGAGAATGGGTCTGGGCTGACATGTTCAACTCAGCTGAAAGACGAGAAAAGGAGTCCAAGGTACAGGAACAAGAACAAGCATCTGGGCCAGTGGCCAGCAGGGAGAGAAGGGGAGGGAAGGAGCAGCAGTTCTTTTTATTATTAAATGCACCGTGGTTTAAACTCAGCCAGAAGTGAGTATCTTGGGTTCACTTGCAAGAATGCTCGTGCCAATGCTATCTGCTTAAAATATTTCTCTGCCTTTAATTTTTTCCTTGTTTTCCCCTTTTCTTTTTAATAATTAAATTATACTGCTGAAGAGAGGGAGCACAACACAGTAGCTAAGTATATAGATTCTGCAGCTGGCCTGCCTGGGGTCCAAATTCTGCCACTTAGCAGTCCTGTGACCTGTGACCTATTAGTCCTTGGCCTTCGCTTTCCTCATCTGTAAAGTGGGGGTAATAAAGTACCCACCTTGTTATGGAAGAGATCAAATGACTAATGCCTGTATCAGCACAGGGTCTAGCTCATAGTGAGTACTATGCATTTGCTATTATTATTATTATTATTATGGTTATTATTATTATTTAAAGGCGAGTTCTGGAAAGGCTGCTTTGGCCAGGTGTGATGGCTCATACCTATAATCCCAAAGCTTCGGGAGGCCGAGGCAGGCAGATCACCTGAGGTCAGGAGTTTGAGACCAACCTGCCCAACATGGTGAAACCCCGTCTCTACTAAAAATACAAAATTACCTGGGCATGGTGGCATGCACCTGTAATCCCAGCTACTTGGGAGGCTGAGGCAGGGAAATCGCTTGAACCTTGGAGGCAGAGGTTATAGTGAGCCAAGATCGTGCCATTGCCTTCCAGCCTGGGTGACAAGAATGAAACACTACCTCAAAAAAGAATAGAAAGAGAAGAAAAGACTGCTTACAAGTCCATTTGTTCCAAAGCCCAAAGTGACACTCTATGGGTGACCCTTGGTGCCACTGCTTGGGCAGCTTGGAGGCATGTTTGCTTTGGCCTGGAGGTTTGTTCACATGTATGAGCATTCAGAAATACAGGAGCTTATGGACTGGTCCCCAACATCTCGTGACCCCTTCCTGTGTCCAAGCACTATGCTTGGCTGTAAGTGTATCACATCACTCAATACTCATGACAACCCTGCATATAATAGTAGGGGCTGTTATAGACGCAGGAATTGAGGCTTGGTGGGTGGGTGTTTGGCTAAGGTCACACAGCTACCAAGTGTCAGAGCCAAGCTTCATACCTGGGCTGCCCAGCGAGCCCCTGCTCCTCACTGGTAGGCTGTATATGGTTTGAGGGAATTATGAGAGGTGTCCTGAGAGGCACATGGAGCTTAGTGACAGGAATTCAGCACCAGATGATATTGAAAGACCCTATAAAATAAGCCAGGATTTGGAAACTGCTAAGAGATAGCAGGACCTTAGCTGAGACCACAGGTAGAATCTCAACCTTGAGGACCCGTAGCCTCTGGACTGGGTTTTTGCGGGCAAGACATGAACGCAGGCACTGGGGAACAGTGGGGCTAAGGTTTTTCTGAACCAGGTAGTGGATGGTGACCAAGAACCAAATAAATGGTGCCTAACAACAGAGCCCTAGGTACAGCAAGAGTGCTGGCCAGGGTGCCTTACAATCTGCAAGCCTAAGGCCAGAGGTCACCTTGAGCCAAACCAAAGGTCAAGATTAGGTAACCTCAGCTGTGGGGAGAGGAAGAATGCACAGTCCAAAACTACGTATCTGAGCACAGTAAAATTTACAGTAATGAAACTGATTTGCCAATGCGATCTCTCTAAATAGTAACTTGAAAATGTCACTTAGAGAGATTTGTTTTATACCTAATTGCTCAAGACTACCTTCTTTGTCCAAGGAATGCTGGTGACGAGAACAGGTGTGAGGGGCGTGCCTGCCTTGCACCAGGGCTGTGTCGGCATGGGGGATTACTCATGGACGTGATTCATCTCTGCTCCT